TATGATGCCAAAAGCACAGGCAACCAAAGGAAAAATAAACAAATGGGATTACATCAAACTAAAAAGCTTCTGCACAACAAAAGAAATAATTAACAGAGTTAAAAGACAAACATTTTCCAAGTGTCTACAATTGCCAGACATTGTACTAAGTTTGGAGAAAAGATACAAAACAAGAACTCCTATCACAGTGGAATTAACAGTTGGGGAGAATTTCACATTATGCTTCAATATAACGGGAACTGTTAACATGTCATGCAGTGACATGATCAAAGACTTCTGACCTTGAACCTCTGATTTGGGGCCTACACATTTAATAATTGATCTGCCACCTCATCAAATCAGTCTATGCCTGTTTTTCACAGATTATACATATGCTATGACAAATACAAGTGGCAACAACCAATTAGATTTATTCCAATCCTCTTTATGCATCCCTGTAAGAACATAAGCCAGTAACAGTGGGTTAGCAATTAACTGAAAGCATACTCAGGAGCTACTCTGTAGGAGTCCCTCCAACTCCATCATTCTTAAATGTCTGGGACCACTCTCAAAATACGAAATGTCCATATTCTAATATGTCTGAACTCTTCTGAAACCTATTTATGTATTTTTATGCATCCCTTCTTGAGATAATAAATACTCTGAAATATAAATGCTCAATAATTTCCAAATGCAAGTGCTACTTGAAGGAGAGACCTGAGAATGTCCACCCAGGGGAATTATGATCTTCTTCCTCTTGCCTCATATCTCAAACAAACAAATAAAACACTAAGTACCTACCATTTGGTAAGCACTGTGCTGTGTCCTGGGTACAGAGATAAATAATTAAGAACCAGTTCCCACCTTCAAGGTTTCCAATATATTAACAGAGATGGATAAGTAAATTAACTATTATAGCAAAGTGCCTTACATGCAGGGATAAAGATATGCACAGGTACACCAGAGTAATATCGGAATGAGAACCACATGGAAAGAAGAAGTGGTTCCTCAAAAGAGCATGGGAGGGTTAAAACTGTATCATAAGAGAAAAAGGATAAAAAAACTACATCAGCTGTGTGACCTTGGGCAAAACTCGCTTACCTCTCTGAATCCCTGTTTTTCATCTATAAAACAAGGATAATAATACCTATTGTGGAAAGCTTTAATAATAATAATAAAATACGTAAAGCACTTAGTACAATAGAAGGTGCTCAGCAAGGAGTGGTTTTTAAAGCCCTTGCTCAGGCTTTCTCCACATTTAATTTTTTAAAAAAGTGAACAGATATGATGTTGATGGGTGGGAGGGGGAAGAGGGAGGGTGAAAGTAGAATCGGTGAAGGGACACGAAAATCAACTACACTGTATATTGATAAAGTAAAATAAAATAATAAAATAACCTAAACTAAAAAAAAAAAAGCCTTCATTTTAGGGCTGGCTCGTGGCTCACTTGGGAGAGTGCGGTGCTGATAACACCAAGACCACAGGTTAGGATCTCTATATAGGGATGGCCGGTTAGCTCACTTGGGAGAGTGCGGGGCTGATAACACCAAGACCACAGGTTAGGATCTCTATATAGGGATGGCCGGTTAGCTCACTTGGGAGAGTGCGGGGCTGATAACACCAAGACCACAGGTTAGGATCTCTATATAGGGATGGCCGGTTAGCTCACTTGGGAGAGTGTGGTGCTGACAACACCAACTCAAGGGTTAAGATCCCCTCACTGGTCATCTTGTAAATAAACAAACAAACAAACAAACAGACAAACAAATAAATAAATAAAAATAAACCTTCATTTTATTTCCAGCTTTCATTAAAACTATCCCACCAGCACTAAGAATAAGACTACAGGTCTGGAACTGTCCTTCACAGTAACTTTCATTATTTTCACTTTTAAAAACTGTATTATTTGATAAATATAAAAGATTGTATACAACATATATGTAAGCTATAAAGCATATTATAATGAAACCCTCTGTACCCACTACCCATCCCAAGAACTAGGGCACTACGAACAGCTTGCATCTTTTTAGGTTGCTTTTCTCCCATCTCATACCCTTCCTTTCTCTCTGAGATAAACAGGAGCCTGAATTTGGTCTTTATCATTCACTTCCTTTTTTAATATGACTTTATCACATACATATGCATGCCTAAACAATATTTCATCTATTTTGTCTTTGAGTTCTATAAAAACTGGTATCAAACTGTAAGTTATCTTCTCACACTTGCTTTTTCTCTCTCAATGTTATGATTCTAAGATCCATCCATACTGTACATGTTATTGATGACTTTAAATTTTTTTCCAAGTATGTCTATAGGTATTGAGTTTTGTTGTTGGTGGTTTTTTTAAAATCCTTTTCCATGCTCCTGTGGAACCAATACAGTAAACATCTTAAAGATGAAGAAACTAAGGCCAAATGATCTGATGTTCATTAAAATGTCAAGAAGAAAAGTGGCCTAAAAGGACTTCTAACCTGATCATAGGATCCCTGTGTCCTGTTTTTAAGAAACATTTTCCAAGTGTCTACAATTGCCAGACATTGTACTAAGTTTGGAGAAAAGATACAAAACAAGAACTCCTATCACAGTGGAATTAACAGTTGGGGAGAATTTCACATTATGCTTCAATATAACGGGAACTGTTAACATGTCATGCAGTGACATGATCAAAGACTTCTGACCTTGAACCTCTGATTTGGGGCCTACACATTTAATAATTGATCTGCCACCTCATCAAATCAGTCTATGCCTGTTTTTCACAGATTATACATATGCTATGACAAATACAAGTGGCAACAACCAATTAGATTTATTCCAATCCTCTTTATGCATCCCTGTAAGAACATAAGCCAGTAACAGTGGGTTAGCAATTAACTGAAAGCATACTCAGGAGCTACTCTGTAGGAGTCCCTCCAACTCCATCATTCTTAAATGTCTGGGACCACTCTCAAAATACGAAATGTCCATATTCTAATATGTCTGAACTCTTCTGAAACCTATTTATGTATTTTTATGCATCCCTTCTTGAGATAATAAATACTCTGAAATATAAATGCTCAATAATTTCCAAATGCAAGTGCTACTTGAAGGAGAGACCTGAGAATGTCCACCCAGGGGAATTATGATCTTCTTCCTCTTGCCTCATATCTCAAACAAACAAATAAAACACTAAGTACCTACCATTTGGTAAGCACTGTGCTGTGTCCTGGGTACAGAGATAAATAATTAAGAACCAGTTCCCACCTTCAAGGTTTCCAATATATTAACAGAGATGGATAAGTAAATTAACTATTATAGCAAAGTGCCTTACATGCAGGGATAAAGATATGCACAGGTACACCAGAGTAATATCGGAATGAGAACCACATGGAAAGAAGAAGTGGTTCCTCAAAAGAGCATGGGAGGGTTAAAACTGTATCATAAGAGAAAAAGGATAAAAAAACTACATCAGCTGTGTGACCTTGGGCAAAACTCGCTTACCTCTCTGAATCCCTGTTTTTCATCTATAAAACAAGGATAATAATACCTATTGTGGAAAGCTTTAATAATAATAATAAAATACGTAAAGCACTTAGTACAATAGAAGGTGCTCAGCAAGGAGTGGTTTTTAAAGCCCTTGCTCAGGCTTTCTCCACATTTCAACATTACAACTCTTTGAACTGCAATAAGAAAAAAACTCAGCAAGATATTAATGCAGAATTATTTTGCACACAAGGCTTATCTACAGGTCTTGCTCTGAAAGAAAGTTCAGGTCTTTTCATCTCTGCCTAGACTATTAAATTATACCTGTTATACTTTGTCACCCCACTGCAGGTTCCTCCCCTAGTCAAAACACACTAAACCGAAGAACAATTTAGCTCAGTTGGTTAGAATGCCATAACACTAAGGTCAAGGGGTGGCATCCCCTTCCTGCACAGCCACAAAAAACAAAACAGTCCACTAAATCAATCCTCCACACTCCTAGAGTTCCTTGTGTTTTGCTGCTCTGTAACTTCGTATTACTTAGCCTGGTATTCAAGGTTCTCCACAACCTGAATCCAATGGAAGGTTCCCACCTCCCTGTTCCATCCAACACTTATAGACTTATAGCTCCCCAAACCCATGCTCTGTGGGCCTCTGGCTTCTGCTCTTTACTGCCCGTCAAAATATTAGACCTCTGGGCCGGCCAGTGGCTCACTCGCTAGAGTGCGGTGCTGATAACACCAAGGCCCCGGGTTCGGATCCCACATAGGGATGGCCGGTTCGCTCACTGGCTGAGCGTGGTGCTGACGACACCAAGTCAAGGGTTAAGATCCCCTTACCGGTCATCTTTAAATATATATATATATATATATATATATTAGACCTCTAACCTGGCAATGTACTTCAATTTTTAAATTTTTTTTAAAAAAAGATGACCGATAAGGGGATCTTAACCCTTGACTTGGTGTTGTCTGCACCACGCTCTCCCAAATGAGCTAACCGGCCATCCCTATATAGGGATCCTAACCTGTGGCCTTGGTGTTGTCAGCACAACAATCTCGCAAGAGAGCCAAGGGCAGGCCCTGAGCACCAGTTTTTTTTAGATGAGCACACCACTGACCAGGTAATAGTACTACTAGGAAATTTAACTTAAATTCAGCCTTTAGAACATACACATAGATATCAGTTTCGAGGATTTTCATTTAGAACAATGAAAACTGGCAATAACTTAAATGCCCAACAATAGAAAACATGTTAAATAAATTAGAGCACATCTCTAAAATAAAATAGCATACAAACCCTTAAAATTAAAATTGCCATGGAAAGATTTTTGTGAAACTTAAATTTTTTAAAAAGGTATAAAACAGTGGCGTGGCATATCACCTCATTTTCCTAGTGTGTATGCAATCAAACAGGTATGGAAGGTAGACATCAAGATAATAACTGCCTTTCTACGAGTGATGGCAAGCATTTTAATTTTCTTCCATTTGCTTCTTGTGGTTTCTAAAGCTAATACATTCCGCTCTCTACAAAGAGGTGTAAATAACGTAAAACAAACTCACGTCTATCTTTCCAGGCCCAGTTCAAAACTACTTCCTCCCCGCAAGCCTTTCCCTTCTCCCTCCTCATTTCCTACAGCACAGGATGCCTCTCCCTTATGGCATTTATTGATTCCTAACCGGCATGACGCCAGTTGTACACGTCCTATCTCCTCTACAGAAGACAAAACTCCCTAAGAGAAAAGCCATTACAGTGCACGCGGCGGTTCTAGCCACAGCGTCCAGACTAGGCAGACAGGACATGTCCTGTACGAAAAACCGAACATACGAGATGACGTCATTCCGCTGGTCTCACACATCACGTGGTCTCCCAAGCACGTGACCCACGCCTTCACCATAAGTAGAATGACGCACCTCACTTCAAGATCTGGAATGTCACGTCCCTTTCCGCAATGCTTCTACTGAGTGCCGCACCACCAGTCTCTTAGAACTAAGTTACCTGTCTCCAGGGTCGGTTTCACGCACCCGCACGGGGTGGCTGGGGAATGAGGCCCTGCCTCCTCCACGCCGCGCATGGCTACTGGCCTCTGAGGTTCCGGCTCGGCGCTTCAAGCCTTCCGCTTCCGCGTTCCTTGAGTGGCGCCTGCGCAGTATCAGCACTGGCTGGGTGGCGCGGGTGTCAGACAGCGCGCGCCGCACGCCGCGCGGGTTACCCTCAGGTCTCGGTTGAGTCTTTGGGGCCCTGTTCAGGCCCGGTTCTTCTCTCCGGGTCTTGGTTGTCTGGCGCTGAGACTGCGGTTGTGCACCCTCTCAGGGCATTCTGTGGTTCCGAGTTCCCGCGCTTTCCGAGAGGGGGACACATCAATGAAGATTTACGCGCAAAGGTTTCTCTCAAAACATTATTAATAATAAGCAACCTACATGTCCAACGAATGACTCTTCATTTCTGAAGAACAAGGATGTACATAACAAAAAGACTGGATGTTAAGAAATGTTGGGAATAGAGAGATGGTTATACTCCTCTGTATACTCCATATTTTCCATAATAAAAACGATGTTTTGTTAGACTTTATAGTCTAACATATATTAGTCTATATAGACTATATATATATATATATAACAAATATATATATATTTGAATATATTATATATATTAATATAAATATATTATATATAAATATATATATGTATAACAAATATATATTAGACAAATATATATATATTTGAATATATTATATATATATTAATATAAATATATTATATATAAATATATATATGTATAACAAATATATATTAGTCTATATAAAGACTAATTAGACTTTATTTCAAGTGTGAAGGGTAAGGGAGCCTCACACCGGGCTAGAGGTTAAGAAATGGGGACTGTTTCTTGTGCTCCATAACCTCACCGGAACTGAAGTAAGAATGATGTTATGAGTTAATAATACCATATACATTGGGGGGGATTATTGTCGTTTCTGGGCAGCTCTGAAAAGTCGAGGCCCAACAGGAATCATTTTTTCATCCTATGCAGTGACCAGTTGTTCCTGCACCCTTAGCCTATCCTTTACCCACTTACTTGTAATATCATCTCATCTTTGTCAAGTTTCTCTATTTATAATTGTTTCTGAGCTTTTATCCTGTTGGTTCAGAAAAATAATATATTACCTGCAATATAAAATATTCAAAAGCATATAAGTCCACAGATGAAAAAGCTAAACAAACCACGAAAAGCTATTTCTAAGTCTTCATTTAATCACTACAAGAAAATAACCAGCAGTAGGATCCAAAGGTTTAAAGAGAAGACTGCGGTTTTTAAAAAAATTAAAATTGATCAAATTCATGTAGTGTCCTCTGGCAGGTCTTTTCTACGTGACAATTCGGAAAGATTGTCATTACTGTTTTTACGAAAACAGTTCTGTCCAGTTGGAGAAACAAGTTTCAGAACCATTGGGCTATATACACGACGTAAAACTGGGTCGAAGTTTTTGCACTTGCCACTAGATGGTGGTGTTGCTGAAAGAGGTAGTCCCTTAATTTGTGGAAAGACTAGTGCTGGAGAGGTAATTGCCATCCTAGAGGGCATAATAGAGTTTGATACTTACACAAAATATTTACCAACTGTGACAAGTACTGAAATGCAAAGCAGACTTGGAAACACCAATGAAGTAGATTGCTACCTCTTTTAAAGGTAAAACTGCTCTTTACTGAAAACAAGAACTTAAATGTACAGCACTTTTATTATTATGTTCTATGATTTGAAGTTTTTATTAACCTGTCTAGAGTTGTATCTGATTATTTCTAGTTTATTAAACTTAACCCTTTCTCTGGAGGTAGAGTCTAGAAATCTGCCAAAAAAAAAAAAAATTAGAGCAGTGTTGAGTCAGACAAGTCTAGAGGTCCCTCAGACAGCAGAGTTGGGACGGGCTTTGGGGGCATGAGCTGAGGGCACAAGGCCAAGGCCACGAGTATTTCATAGAGATTGATGGAAGTAGAAACCAAAACTCTTCCCCTGGGGAATGCATCCATCTCTCAGTGGGCTCTCTACCGGAAGGGCACTGATTATGGATTGGCAATCTGTACCCCAAAATCACAGAATACCACCTCCTTAAACACTTTAAGAAGTTTGGTAAGGTAAAAGCAGTTTAACCTCCTCTTCTACAAGTCATGTGCTTTGGAGGGACAGCCTCAAGGGTACTGTCTCGTTAATTTTGAAACTAAGCAGGAAGCAGAACAAGCTATCCAAAGTCTCCATGGCAAGCTTGCTTTGTCTAAAAAGTTGGTGGTGCGAGGGGCACATGCTCAAGTAAAGCGATATGACCATAACAAGAACGATAAAATACTTCCAGTTAGTCTTGAGCCATCCTCAAGCACTGTACTCAGTCTAACCTAAGCATCACTGTCAAGATAAAAGCCATTTAAGCAAAGCTGAAAATGATGGGAGAAAATCGTGAGGCAGATTATCCAGCAGTACCAGTTTATTCCTACTTTAAGCCACCAGATTAAAAAAGGACTACTCCTTATTCTAGAGAGAAATCTCGAAGATGATGGTCATAATTACTGTAGCAGCAAAAGCAGAGAAAAAGACAAACATACAAAATGTTATTACTTAAATAGGGAAATGAAATGTATTAACATCTGTGTTAATAAATACAAGACAGTGAAAAAAAAATTATTTTGATACAGGTGGTCATCAGCCTGTAGTACTTTGCGAACACTTCCCAGTAGAGTGGTTCTTAACCTCTCATTTGGGTAAAAGACACCTTTCAGAATCAAAGCTCTAGACCTTCTCAAACATCATTTTAGATGTAATATCATAAGGTTCATGGATTTCTAAGAACTATTGTGGCTACCATGAGAGGAGAGCAGCACAAAGTAGGGCTAGATGTATTCTTGCAAAACTTTGATTCTGATTATGACCTCAAGGTTCTAAGCAAAGAAGAAAACTGGAAAAACTTTATATGCTGCAGCTGGTATCTGAATAAGAATAGTGAGAAAGCAGAGGTGATGTGTGTATATAAGGAGTGGTGTAACAGGGCAGGCAAAAAGGGTCCTAAAAAGGAGAGAGAAGATTCTGCTTCCTCTAATGTGCTATATTCCTCTTTCCATCTATTTTTCCATCTCTTTCACCTTTGTGCTCCTGTACATTGTACGTATGCAAGCCTCTCAAGATTCATCTTCGTGCAACACTATTAGAACTTGAGATTTCAGTTGACTCTCTCTTCTCTCTAATCTTGACCCACTCTGGCAGATGAAGTTGAGACAGAAGAAGCATTCTGAACATAAGGCATCATCATGAAAGGCACTGAGGAAGTCAAATGTGACTTTGGGTGAGTACCAAAACTCTCTGAGGTTATTCCCTCATCTGTAAAATGGGAGTGATAATCATGGCCTACCCTATTTCACAGACTTTTGTGTAGATCAAATAAAATAGTTTATATGGAAGTATAAATATTGAAGGAACTATTATGTAGTTGTGCTGCCCTCAATGTTATTTGAGTAATATAATGGGATATAAGTAATAATTGTACAATGAACATATCCTGAGGGGAAAAAATTTAATTTACCCTCAAAGCAGGGTAGCAAGTAGGAGGGAAACATAATAACTTCCCACTATACCAATGGCATAGCTTCACATTAGAATCATCTGGAGAGCTTTTAAAATAAAAATATCCTAAAGCAATGCTGTATCCTGGATAGGATCCTGAAGCAGAAAAATGACATTAATGGAAAAACTAATGAAAAACAAATAATGTCTGTAATTTAGTTCATGGTAATGTAACTATCTTAATTTCTTAGTTTTGACAAGTGGACCATAGTTATGCAGGATGTTAACACTGGGGTAAACTGAGTGAAAGGTATACAGGAACTTCTATACTATCTTTATAATTTTTTCATGATTCTAAAATTATTTCCCCCAAGGAGATTAAAGCATAAAACAGTTCAAAAACACACATATATACCTTTGCCTGGACGTCACCCTCGACAGGTGAATCAGAATCCATGGGGAGGTGTTTGGGCATCTGTATTTTTTTAAATCTAATGTACCCTCATGGTACATTAGCGCTGAGAGAACCACTGCTGTATACCATGAATGTCTGAGGGGCTGGGTCCTGTCTTGTTCTGAGATGTACCTAGTACCTAGCACATGCCTATATGAACAGCTTGTGTAATTGCATGAATGAACCTTTACTTGAAAAAATATTTACTTTTTAGTCCTTTGTGATTACAGAAGGAAAACTGAAAACAAGCAAAAAAATAGCAGGGGAAATTTTCAGTCATCATCCTACCCAGAATAGTTCCTATTCCTGCCCCCAGTTCTTGTGACATTTTTCAGTTAATCTTGACTATCATCACCCAATAAATATTCCTGAAATACTAAAATAGCCATTCCATTGTTCAAAAGTCTTGCTTAGGTCCCCACCATCTAACAAGTGATATACTTCTTAGTTAGGTATGCAAAATTCTCTACATGCTGTCTAATATTACCAGATTCTTAGCATGCAAGCCTACTATTTCATATGGACCTACACTATAGTTTGCATGCAGTTCTCTTGAATGTGTCTTGAACTCACACTTCTTTTTTTTTTTTTTTTTTTTTTTTTTT